ACCTTACCCATTTCATCAGAAAAATGCTAATGGGTCAAATAATCATGAAGTAAGGGAGTTCTTTTAAACAGAATAAGTTGAACTTAAAAAATGTGTTTTCATGATAAAAATATTTTCTAAAATACATGAACAGAATAAAAAGGCAAACTGGAAAAAGCTTGTTACTGCTCATGTTATAAACCACGTGCAAAAATTATACATATGGGGATATTCATTGCACCATATGGAGACATTCATCACACTATTATTAATATAGTACAAGAATAAAAATATCTCAAATATCTATCAGGATAAGACTAGTTACATACAGCACAGCCTCTAGAAAAAATGAGGTGACTCTATTACACTGACAACAAAAAGGTCCCCAAGCTACGTGAAAAAGCAAGGTACAGAAGGGTACACACAATGTGCCACCACGGGAAGAGGACATGTAAGAAAATAGCAGCAACGGTTGCCTCTAAAAAAGGAAACTGCATGTCTGGGAGACTGGGAGGGAGAAGAAATGTACCTTTTTTTACAAACTCTAGTTTTTACATTTATGAATGTGCATGTTCTACCTATACAAAAAAATACATATTTAAAATATTTTTAATGCTCTCGACTATGACATTTTAAAACAACCCAAGTCCTTATTTGTGTTTCTCAAACTCTGCAAAAGAAATATTTCTTTAAATCTTCTCTTCCCTCTTTCTCTTGATATTGTCATATTCTATTTTCTCTGGTTGGATTTTCTTTCCTCCCACAAAACTCACATTTTCCACACACACACACACAAAACTCTTCTTCTCTGCCCCCAGCCTGAGTTGAGGTTCGTGCCAAACACTCTTCTAGATAGTTGGAGACACCAGTGACTCACACATCCTGCCCCATAGAGCTTACATTCTAGCATATGGAGATATCCAAAAACACAGAACAATAAAGATAAGGATAATCTAGTGAGTTACAGGGAAATAAATACAATAGAGAATAGAAAAAAATCAGCAGGATGGAGGAGGGTCAGAAGGTAGGAGAAGGAGGATTGTGATGTTCAATAATGTGGTAAAAGTTGGCTCTAATGAGAGGGCGGCATTTCAGCAAAGAGTTAAAGAAGGAGATGAAAGAGTGAGACAAGTAGGCAGCCAGGGAATAGGGTACCAGAGAGAGAGAGAGAGAGAAAGGACCATGTGAAGATGCTAAGGCGAAGCACTCTTAGTGTCTTTGAGGCGCACCAAGAAGTTCAGCATGACAGGGGCTGAGAAAGTGGGAAGAAGAACAGTCGAAGGTGAATTCAGGGAAAAGGAGGCTTGGTGCCCAGGCGAGCAGGGCCTCGTAAACCACCCATCATTGTTGCTGAGCTCACCAAAACTGCAAGTGAGCAGGCCAGAGCCCATCCACGTGGCACCTTGGTGAACGACCCAACCATTAATGCAGGAAGGAGCAGATCTTTATTGACAACATTCCAACCTTGGGGAGTTCAGAGTACCTCAGCTCCGAGCCCTCCTTTCCCATGAGAACCAACAATTACCATGCTCCCCACAAGAAACAGCACTTCCCATGGTCCCCACCAGACTACTGCCAGAAGCCCCAAAAGTTTCCTATGTCCTTATCTGTGTGGGACCTGGAATACATTGCCATCAGCCTCCATATAATAGTATGTTCCTTTTTATATCTCTGGATGGTGAAACTCAGGAAAGGGCACAAGTCTTAAGAGTCCAGAAAAAGTCCAAGTCTGCACAGCAGTGTCTTGCAAAGAAGTCCTTTGCAGCTCTGGAGTCAGCTAGAGCAGACGCGACCCCAGCGGCTGAGCGCGGCCTCATCCCGTACTGCAGACAGCGTCTCTCCCCTCACTATGATTCCCCCATGGCCACCAGCGCTTCTCCTTCCCAAGCCGCGTGGTCAGGAGGGCTCTGCACAGCTGCTGCATCCTGCTTTTCTTCTCCCAAGCTGCATGCCAGAGAGCGAGAACCCTCTCATGGCTCTCCTACTCCCTCCCAAGCAACATGGTCAAGAGGACGTGGCTGCCCGCGCTTGAGATTAAATCCCAGCCTACTCCTCTTCTGCGACCCTGTTTCTGACTCTTCCCACAAAGCGTTACACCTGCCCATCCCCTGGTTTCTTCTGCCTTTCTCTGGCTGCCATTGTCAGTCTGGGCCGGTGGCCCTGTGATGCTCGGGAACCTACAACCAGGGAACTGCCTCCCAACTACATCACATGCTAAAGTCACACCCGTCTCCCTTGCCCTGAGTGTGTGCAGCAGTCTAACTATTTAGCATGACTAAAACACTGGCCAGCCATTATTGACAGGCAAAGTACCTCTCAACCGGTATATCTGCTTCCCCATCCCCCAACTGATGGCTGTGGGAGGTTTTCCTATATTCCTGGGCACCCCAAGTCCTGAGCTTTGTTCCACACCTGCTACACCATGAAGCTTTGGACTTTTAAGTGAAATAAATAACCATTATAGGGGATGCCATTGCCGTTTTCCTCTATACTCCATACCCATTTGTCATCCGGAAGAATTCAGTCCCGAGACTTGACCGACCACGCACGACCACACCATCACCACTCATCAGGCACCGCAACACGTTGTTCCTCAGTTCTGATGAGGATTGTTAACAGATAATCATTTTGAGTGCCTTTCAAAAAGTTCTAACTGAGGATGCTTCCAGCACTTAGACTACTGCACAGGAAACATTCTAGTGCACTTGCCCAAGAAAGGCAAACTATTTGTTCTATGAATGCATTTGTCTCTGTTGTGTTACTTTACTCTTCCTTTGAGTGCATTGTTGCCTGGCTATTGGAAATATTAGTACCCTTCGTTCCAAGTACATCTAAAATTTCTGCTTCCTCTGTCCACCATAACCTAGATCCTCACCACATGCTTCTTCATAGACTGATCCCTGATTCACTGTTTTGTCAGAGTATCTGAAATGTCACTGCCCAAAGCAACTTCTTTTTATATAATCTCAGTTCCCTCTTAGAACCAACTCCTGGCCTGAGCTGCAGCACCCGATCTATGTCTGGCTGAAAGCTTTTTTATGACTATCTTGTATGAGTATCTTTTTAAATCTCTTCTCCAAGCCTCCTCTAATTAGTTTTTTACAAGAAAGAACAGGTAGCAATGTAATTATTGCATCTTTTTTAAATTGTGGCAGGGGTAGAGATAGGAGGCTCTTCCATTTCCTTCACCTGAGAGATGTATGAAATGGCTATGTTTTTATCGGATCCACTAGACCTTTCAGAAACTGCCTTCATCTCATTTGAGCTGTAGAATCAGTAATCTTGAATATTTTTATTGAATTTATTAAGGTGACATTGGATAATAAAATTATGTAGGTTCCAGGTGTACAATTCTATGTGAGTTTGTGCAGTATAAGAAATCGAGCAGACAGCGCATGGTAAAGGTGTTCTTGATTTTGGGGGAAGGGCCCGCTGCTAACATGGAGATTTGTTCAAGGATACAGAGCCTATATTTGGATAAGTTGCTTCAGTTTTTCACGAATAAGATTTCTAGGAATCAGATCTCTTTTAAACCACACGTGCACATGGCTTTTCTCAGTTTGTCATTCTTATGCTCTGGCAAATTGCTGGGTCTACTTCCAAGATGTTGCAATTTCCCCCGTGGGTACCATAAAAGTGGTGGAATGTGCCTGGCTAATTTTCTGATGTCATTGTCAAAAAAAAAAAAACAAATAAATTTTATCTGATTGCTTTCCCTAGATTTTATAATTTTTTCCTTTGGGTAAGTATATATCAGGTGTATGTATCAAGCATATATATCAAGCATGGCACAGACTTCCTATTAACACAGAGGTCCAGCTATCTAAAAACTACTCATTCGTGTGGCCCCAGAACAACACGTATACATTCTGCCATCCAAGACCCTGCTAATGGCAGGGACCATTTAGTGCAGAAAATCAGGTGTCCCCAACCTACATTGCCCACCCTTTAGCCTATATGCCAAATGTCATGACAGTAAATGATCCATCATTCTCAGTTTCCAGGCATCATAGGGAGATTAACCAAGTTCTATCAGAGCAAAGCTGTATAGACCTGTTGCCTGCCTCCCACGGAACACGTGGCTGTATGCACCCTCTGATTTTGCTCAGCTCTTTAGCTGAGCCCCCGTGCTAACAGCTTAATGGGACACCATGGCATTATATCCTGCAGATTTTAAATTAAAGTTTAAGACCCCCCTCAGGACATGCAGAGTACTCCAATTAACACTAATTGGCATTACACATGCTTCTTTAGTGAAAAACATGGTTTTCCTGAAAATGCCACTTTCTTTATCCTGCTTTAAAAAGCCCAGAAATTCTAAGAAAACAACAAGGGATGTATGCAAAGATTAGATATAAGGATTCTAGTGTGGTGTATCTATTGGCAGAAAACTGGAAACAAATATCGATAGTGGGGAATTCTGTAGATAAAGGAGAACAGAGACAAATCCAACAATTTTTTAATGTTATGAGTAATTTTTGACATGGGCAGAAGCTCATGATATATTGTTAAGTGGAAAAAGTTGAAGAATAGCATGAGTGACATGATACCACTTTTCTCTTTGGCATAGAAAAAAAGACAGGAAGGATGTAGATATCAAAATTTAAAGAGTAATTATCCTTGGGTGGTAAGAATAATGTTGATGTTTATCTGACTCATTTGCATCCCTAATTTTCAAAAAAACCCTTTCCTTCAGTGAAAAGAAAACATTGTTTAGCAAAGTCAATCATTGGGTTCCTGCAGAAACCATGCAACAAAGGGATTTAGTTTGAAATTTTTTAAGTCAATCCTCCCTCTCTGCCAAGCCTGTGTGGGACACTGAGAGCTCTCTACCAATAATACGCTAATAGTTTCCAACAGAATTATGAGGGTGAACAGTGTTGTTGTTTTGTTTTGTTTTTTTTTACATTCATGGAAAGGTGAGCACTGAAGAGACTTGTTTTAAATACTCATTCCCATGTTCATTTGCACCAAAGCCCCACCTGAGAGGGTGCATTTATGTCTTTGTGTTTTTCTTGCAGAGCCAAAGATGTTTGTCTTGCTCTATGTTACAAGTTTTGCCATTTGTGCAAGTGGACAACCTCGGGGTAATCAGTTCAAAGGAGAGAACTTCTCCCCGAAATATATCTGTAGCATCCCTGGCTTACCTGGACCTCCAGGTCCCCCTGGAGCAAACGGTTCCCCGGGGCCCCATGGTCGGATTGGCCTTCCAGGAAGAGATGGGAGAGACGGCAGAAAAGGAGAGAAAGGCGAAAAGGGGGCTGCAGGTAATGAATGATGAGGTTCTGTAAAAACCCCTCCTCCACCCCACCCGAAAACTACTCCCTTTCTTTGTTGTTTTTTGTAGTGGGAATTGTTCCTTAAACCCATCCTCTACTTCATCATGACTAATCATAACAACTGATTGCGCCTTGACTCTGCGTCAGACGCTGCTCCCCACTCTTCGTGTGCATTCTCATTTTATTGCAGTGGCAACTCTCTTGGGTGGAAGTCATCCAGTTTTACAGATGAGAATATGAGCAATGCCACGGTCCATGAGCTACTGAATATGGGAGAGCATTGCTAGGGACAGGCAGAGCTGGGTTCCAACATCGATGCCCGTCACCACTGTGCTGTCACAGCCGGCAGGCAGTGGCTGCATGTGAGAGGGCACTTTGGACGGACAGACAGGTGGACAGGAAGGGAGATGAAACAGAGGCAGAACTAGGAGCCAAAAGCACGGGTGTCATCCTGCGCTGCGCCGATATCCTGAGCAAAGACACACAAAGAGCTTCTAGGTTTTCTTTCTCAAAGATGAAATGACAGTAGGACAGGATGTCCACCTTTCCTAGTTCATCACTTTCCCACCTGTCCTGTAGCAGCGAAAAGAAAAATAGATTTCTTATAGTGCTTTACAGCAATACAATGTCCCCTAGTCTTTCAGTAACTTTCACTTTTTTCTTACAAAAAAGTTGACCCAGGAATCTTGCCAGTTTCTGCAATCCTTCAGAGTAAAATGAATTAAAATTCTAGTGAGGCCATGTTAACCCTGAAAGAGGAAGCGATTTGGAATCAATCTTTGAAAACATGTTTCTGAGAGTAAAAGTTGGGACAAAAGATAGGCAGAAAATGTCAACTGATCTCAGAAATGTGCCTCTCTGTAGTCATCACACCTCATTTAGTGCTGTTAAATGAAACAATATAATATATATTCAAATTATTGGCCAATAATTCATTTCTGAATTTGTAATGCAGAGAATATTTGGCAAATCAGTAGCTACCAAATGCATAAATATTATTCAATGTTAGATAAAGAATCTTCACAAAAAAGTTCAATATCACATTAAAAAATATTAATTTGGAGATTAAATCTTATCTTTCAAACCCTTCTACTCATGAACACAACTTACTGCTATGTCATGATCATGAATATCCCTGAGATACTATAATAACACAAGGATCATAATTAGGTATTAGCAACCCTTTCAGTTTACTGTGCCTGGAAGTAATTATGTAGTGATTACACAAACATGCTTTTGAAAGACTAAGAAAGACTTAGGTTAAAATCTTGGCTCCTTCAATTATTGCTTAGTATCACTGAGCAAACAGCTTTTTTGAGCCTTGGTTTCCTCATTTATAAATGAGGAGCAATAGGGTGATTGGGGTGATTGAGGACAATAATACATGTAAAACACACAATAGAATAAGTGCCATGTGGTAAACATTCAGGAAATGTTAGCTGTTATTACTTAAGACATTGGGATCTGCAAATATGAGTCATAACTAAGTTCGTGAATATTTAAACCTACATAATAAACTAGAAATGAACAACCTGTTTTACAAAGTAGTTCTAGGGTTATTTAAAGGCATGTTTATGGATATACATTCAGATTAAATCCAATGTTCGTAATTGCTACCATTTTAACCATGTATGAGGCCAGCTACACCCCGTGTACCCATCCATCCATCCATTTATTCATTTATCCACTCGTGCATTACTCATTCCACAAGCTTTTTTGCACACGTATTGCTATCCAGGATTGTTCTAGACCAGTGTTTTGCAACCTCCACACTAATGACATTTTGGGCTGAATAATTATTGACTGTGGGATGACTACTCTGTTCATTGTAAGACATGGAGCAGCGTCCCACTACCTACCAGTGACTCCCCGACCAATTGCAATAACTGAAAACATCTCCAGATGTAGCCAGCCCTCCCTCCATAGGCATTGCAGAATTGCTCCTGGCCGAGAACACGGCCCTGGACACCGAGAACACAAACCGGAAGAAGACGTTGTCCTTGCCTTAATAATCATGCACTTGGGTATGGGAGGCCAATACAGAAAAATACAATCACAATAGCACATCCCCATCATCATCACCATCGTCATCCTCACAGCCATTTAGTAAGAACTTAATATACTTATGTGTCAGAAATGTTACCTTTAAAACTCATTGCCCACCATAATCTCATTAGCAATTATTAGAATCAGCAATACTAATAATGTTACAAATGAAAAAAATGGAGATTTAAAAATAAAATGACTTTCCCAGCCTGAGACTCTTTAAATCCAATATCCACCTTTACGTTCATAAGAATATGTAACAGCTAAGAAAGGAGAAGTAAGAATGCCTGCCTTTGTGATCAATCAAGGGAAGCAGGCTTCACCTACACACAGCAGGGACAGAGCCCTGGGCTTTGGGGAATGTGCTTTGGATATGGCCAGAAGAGCACGCAACACAGCTGGGAGCGTCTCTTCCATCTCCCCACTTCAGTGGCACCACAAAAATCTTCTCATTCATGTCCCCTTGGTGAACAGCCCCACTCCCATTTACCCCAACCAAGTGCAAGCAGGATCAGCATAACCTTTTGTTTAATTTCCTTATTCTAAAATACAAATACACAGCTTATTATTCTCAATTATAAATTTTCTGTTAAAATATCTGTCTCCTTCACGAGTCTATAGCAATTACTGTTGTATCATATTATTAACATCATTAACATTTCTTTTCATCGGAATGCTTATCCACATAAATATCTTCAAATAACAGGAGAAGCTCCTCGTGAAATAGATCATACTGGTTTACTTTAGGGCTTTGGATATTATGAACTTAGCTGAGGCCCGTATTTGCAGATCCCAATATAACACCCAGGAACAGCTAACTTGAAGGCGGAGTGGCTGTCATTCATGTCAATGTCTCACTTAGCCCCTGGTACACGGCCTGGCATGTAGTGGACAGTCATCAACATGAGATGCTTTAGGTGGATGCGTCCACATACACATAAATCCATGGATGGATAGATGGGTGGGTGGATGGGTGGGTGGGTGGATGGATGTGTGGAAGAAAAAATTAGCACTGAAAAAAAAAAATCTTTGTAAGCCCATATCATGGAGAGTTAAGAAGAAATCCTTTCTCTCCAAGCTTCAGTACTTAAGTGTAGATAGTGCTTTCTCCGTAACTCGATTCTCTACACAATCATGTCTGAGTATGGAGAGGGAGAATGACCTCCCCCTTCTTTCTATTCTTCATTAACTGGTCCTGAGCACAGGGGCAAATCTCTCAGGCAAACGGGAAGAAATAGTATAAGTTACTATGGTTAGTCTCTGATTATCTAACTCCCAGCAGTTCAGCGTCATCAATAACTACAGAAAATCCAAATGTTGAAATTGAGAAGACCTTTTCATTGTAAAATCTCTTCTTAGTGTTTATGGTTTGATCTCAAAGAATTTCCAGTAGGATGAGACCTCAAGTGATCTGGTCCAAAATCTCCATTTCAAGGTCTGGGAAGCTCAAGTCAGAGAGATGAAACCCTTTGTCACATCAACCCCACTCGTAGCTGAAGAGGGTTTATCGCTAATCTGCTGAGTCACTGTTTACTGCTTTTCCCACCAGGTTTGAAATGGATTTAGATCTAATTTCTTCCTATTATAAATGGAGCATTTGGAACTCAGACAAGAACTGATTTGCCCAAAGTTTTAAAGAAAAAAGAATTTGAGTACATAATGAAATTTAATGGTCAAATTTTTACTGAGGCCAAAATGGTTTTTTTAAATTAATGCATCAAAAGTCACTGATGGAGAAAGTGAAAGTTAAGCTCCTATTGAAGATAAAATAATAATTTAGAAGTTGTTTTCTTTGATTCAAAAGTTAGTTTATGAGCAAAATAGCATTCATATTCTACTTCTTCCAAAAAAAAAAGCAAATATTGAAATGGCAGACTATTATAACCATATTTCAAGAAATAAATACCAGATTGTGTTCTGGCTGGAGTCAGTGGAATTTCAACTTAAAAACAAATGTCATCTACATACAGCTAGGGAACAGTTCTATGATCAGTAGTTATGCTGATCTTAGTCACACACAAAAAAATGCTTTCATTATTAGCATCTTTTGTGCACCATAAATTGTCCAGCAGCATCTTTCCAAAATTATAGAAACAAAATATTTGATGTTTTAAGAGTAAAATTTTTATTCTTCTTAAAATTTACATTCCAAAATGCTTATTGCTAAATTTTCCAAATAAATGAAAAGTGATCAAACTCATACACGGAAGCATATGCAATATTCAAATAAATGATACCAAAGCACTATCAAGATAAAAGAGCTTAGCTTAATAAAAGTTCCTGAGAATAAACTACACAATTTATCAACAACATACTTTCCCTGACTACAAAAGTACATTACAAATTACCAATAATTTGCATATCCTTGAGAAAGTATCATTACACAGGCACTATTTATGGAATGGATTTGGCCATAAAATTGAACGACCTTAATGCTATTAAGTGATTGCTATTATGCATATGATTTAAAAATTAAATAAGTGTTGCTTATCATTTTCAAGCCATGATCACTATTTCTCTGCATTTGGCCTATGGTTGATCAGTAGACATAAAAAAAAAAAAAAATGGGACAAACAGAAAATATTTCACTATGGTGATTTTGAATTTGTTGAAATCTCTTCACAGCTACTATGTCTTTTCTATATGTGAGGAGACCCAGAGAAATTAAGGGATTTGCCTAAAACGATACAACCCTTAGCTGCAGAGCCCAACAGAATTTAGGATTCTTGATTCCAGCCCCAAAGGTAAGAGGCATTTTGACTAAGGGGAAGCATCATTAGGCTAAGACTTGGATTCCAGTCCTAGCCTTGCTTCACCTCTCTGGGACTCAATTTTCTCCTCCAAAAAAAGACTGACCGCACAGTGGTGGCAGTCACTGTTGTTAGGCTGTTGTAGCACACTGAGCCCTCACTGTGCGCCAAGCACCCTTTACCATTCACTCTCCAGCCACTGCCCGGAAATGCTCAGGCTCCAGACGCAGGCAGGCATGAGTTCAGGTCACAGCTTCGTCATTCCCTAGCTCTGTTTCCTTGAGTAAATGGACTTCTCCATGGCTCAGTTTCTTTGTCTACAATGGAATAATAATAACTCCTAGTTCATTAAATTGTTGCAGAACTTAAAGAAGATGATGCATGTAAATAAAATGCTGTTCCTGGTGCATAGGAAATGTTCGGTAAATGTGAGAACCTCATTTTGATTAATTCTTTTGTAACTAATACTCATAGTAGAATGGGGCATAAGACTGAAGAGACTCTAAAGATCTGCCTGGTTCTGTTTGCCCCTGTGACCCCGCTCTGGGGAATAATGTCCTCCGCATTCTCCTTAAATTCCTCCTGTAGTGATGAGTACCTGTATGTGGCTAATTTAGTGACAGGTGACCCATCATCAGAATGATAGTTAATTATTTTTAATTAGTCAGGATTTAAATGACCTCTCACATAGTCAGGAAAATTTACTTGAAATTCTGATGGAAATTTTCTATTTCCATTTTAGTGTATTCATGTTTCTTTAAAAGATTAATTGTTTAATAGTATGCAGTTGAAAATTGTCTGAAAATACAAATTTAGGCTATGCTGGGACATTATGGGCATGCTGTTTACCACTCTATATTTAGAGGAATTATTAATTAAACTACAAACTCTTTTTAAAGGTTTAAGAGGCAAGACTGGGCCACTGGGCCTTGCTGGAGAGAAAGGAGACCAAGGAGAGACTGGGAAGAAAGGACCTATGGGGCCAGAGGGAGAGAAAGGAGAAGTAGGTCCAGCAGGACGTCCTGGACCAAAGGGAGACAAAGGAGAGCAAGGGGACCCAGGGCTGCCTGGAGTTTGTAGATGTGGAAGCATTGTGCTCAAATCTGCCTTTTCTGTCGGCATCACAACCAGCTACCCAGAAGAAAGGCTACCAATTATATTTAACAAGGTCCTCTTCAATGAGGGAGAGCACTACAACCCTGCAACGGGGAAGTTCATCTGTGCTTTCCCAGGGATCTATTATTTTTCTTATGATATCACATTGGCAAATAAGCATCTGGCAATCGGGCTGGTACACAATGGGCAGTACCGGATAAAGACCTTCGATGCCAACACGGGGAACCATGACGTGGCTTCGGGGTCCACGGTCATCTACCTCCAGCCAGAAGATGAAGTCTGGCTGGAGATCTTCTTCACTGACCAGAATGGCCTCTTCTCAGACCCAGGCTGGGCGGACAGCTTGTTCTCCGGATTTCTACTATACGTTGACACAGATTATCTAGATTCCATATCAGAAGATGACGAGCTGTGATCAGAACAGCTGACCAGAATGTTCCATAATCCTTGGGGGACACACTCGGCCTTAATCTGGGGCCCTGGGAGGTGGCAAAAAACAGAAGTGAGATCCTCAGAGACTCCCACTCAGATTCCATAGTATTTGACAGTTCTAGAGAAACCTATTAAAGCAAGATGAACCACCAAACTGTTGAAACCAAACCAAAATGAATGCTATAAAACAGTAGCCCCAGATATGAATTCTCTTGAAAACAGTGTTTATAAATATTTAAACAAATTCAAGACAATGTTAATAAAATTTTTATTAAATTCCCTGAGTGATAAAACCACCTGGAAATGATATTGTCTCATTAAATCTTTATAAAATTACATGTTTGCCTGTTATTTAAAAGAATCATAACATCTCAGACAAAGTCTTTGATAATTCTCAAAAGGCTACCGTTAGTCAAAAACCAAAGGTAAGCAATACTGAGTAATTTCAAACAAGTTAAAGTGGAGCCATAATTTCCTTTTTAATTATTTCTTCTTTCATGCTTGTACGTGAAGCACAGAGTTTATTCTTGTATTATTACTTATTTATTAATCGTTGTATTTGAAAGGGGATACAACTGTAAATCTAATTTTTCCCTACCCTGTATATTTACTCAACAACTCTTTAACTAAGCCTGCATGGACCAGACAGACACTATGATGCTGGGTCAGACTTAATAATGAGCTAAGACAAAGTCCCTACCTTCATACAGGCTACTGTGTGATGGTCATACTGCCACCATCCTGTGTGATGAGCACCAAGGTAAATAATAGACCAGAAAACATGGCAATACAAGGCAAATAACAGAGCCAGAAAACATGGCAACACATTATGTGTGCCAAGGTGTGTGTCTTTAAGCAGGTGGAAGGTATGCAAAGAAGATGAGGAATTCAGCGGTGGCATTCTTCCCACACCATCCTCAAAAGACCATTGTATTTGCAACCAGGAAGGTGTGAAAAACCTGGAGAAGGAGAAGGAGGCCCAGAAGAGGTCATGGAAATAAAGAGAAGCAAGTTACTGAGACCTGCCAATGACAAGGGCCATTTTCCTAAACCCATCAGCTTGCTGGTTTCCCAAGACAAATATTTGTCCTCTTAGCTTTCTCACAAATAAGGGAATTTCTTTACGCTACGGTAAAGACATTGTGTCTTGTGGGTTTTCTAGGTATTGAAGTCAGATAAAGCAAAGCTAAAATTCCACTGATATAAGAGGAGTGAGCTGGAGGGAGAGGGAGAGAGCAGACAGCTGAGCAAATAGCTGTCCCTTCCAAGTCTCTCACCTCCTGAGTCCCACACTCTGTTGTGTCAGCCCCTTGCTCCCCACTGAACTGTAATTCCTCAGTTAATCTCACCCATAATTCTGTCATCTGCCACTCCCTTGGCTGATAGCAACAGCACTCCCTTAGTCTTTCCCTTGTGTATCTTCTAACCCTCTTTCCGTGAATTTCTCCCTCTGGTCATTCATTTAATAAAATTTTTAATGGTTCCTATGTGTGAATTGCCATGGTGGCTTCTTTGAAGGTAAAGGAACAACAAGGTGATGACAAAGGCACAGTCCCTGCCATCAACTTGGAAAGGGTACGAGAAAGGAAATAGCAGGTACATGCTAAAATATGCTAAGGCTAAACTAGAGATAGAGACAAAATGCTAAGGAAAGAACACTCGGGGGTAAATGTCTACTCTCAAATTAAGAGGTGAGAGAGGTGAGCTAGGGAAACCTCTGTTCGCTGAGCCAACAGTGATGGAGAGGACTTGGAGTGGTCAAATTGCAGGAAAGGGAACTTTAGACAGAGGTGACAATGGGACAAATCCCATTGAAAGTGAAAACAGATAGCCTGCAAAGGAATCCATGAGCTGTATTCGCAAGAACCTTGAATGCCACCTTGAGGACTGGGGACTTTATCCATGAAAAAGTGTGGAGCCCCTGTTTGTTCCAAAGCTGAGTGCTGCTATTGTCAGAGGTGAAGTTCACAATTCCCGAGCAGCTGTGCGTAAGGGCAATGCCTGCTTCTCCCACCTTCCAGACCCACTTTGCTGCCGTCATCGTCCTCTGCTTCCCATCCTTTGTCCATTGGTTCCTCTCTTTCTGGGTCAAGACATGGGTCTGAGAGACCAAGGGCAACAACTCTTATGCAAAGGCTGAGCAAACATGGTTTGAGGTAGTCATGTGCCTGCAGAAACACCCGACCCTAGAATTCCAAGCTATAAACTGTAAAAATCAGCCAACAGAAGAAGCTAATCTGGGCCCTTTGAAGACTATGGAATTTGCTGGAAAAACTAGAAATGGAGAAGTTATTGTTGATAGTCATGACCAATGAGGTTATTATGTAATTTAAACTTTTCTCGATCATGATCCATTAATGCATTCATTCTGGGGATATTGTTTACTTGCTTACCTTTTAAATGTTTCCTTCATTAATAAACCTATTTTGAGTAGATTTTTAAACTAAAAAGTCTTTAGCTGGTCCTCGGCCTGGAGATAAATTTTATTTTGAAATATCTGGTGGGGTGGGGATGGGGATCAGAGAGCTAAAGTGGAAAATGAAAGGCTATTTTAGTATTAAAGTGATAAACTTATAAGCAAATGCAGGTGTCTTTTATTCCTTAAAAAAGACAAATACAATTCATCCACATTTATGGATATTTATGGAAAGGAATTAGAAGAGCAATTTTGGTTTAAAACATTCCAAGCCTCATTCCAATCATTCTTTTTAAGGGCTGATTAGGAATGAATATGCATTAAGAAATATTTATTGACTAGATATCATCTCACTCAGAATGATCTAAAGCCCCTTACAAAGATAGACACACCACAGAGAGAACACATTAGTCAGAGCAAATGAGAATAAAAGACAAACAAACAAAAAGAGTGAGGCTAATACAAAACTGAGCATACATGAACATGTATACCTGTGTTACACATTTATAAGACACACATGTTTTCTTGTACCTGTTGCATGTCCAGATAACTTCTTATTGTGAATGATGTGACTTACGGTGAAAAAAATTCCATAAACTCTGAATACGCATGCAATCCACATCTTTCTTTCTGGTATTCATACCCAACTGCCTTCTGAAGAACCACCTTCATTCACATGCAAGGTCTTTGAGCTCCCAAGTGGAATTGATTCCTGCAGCACGTAAGTCTCAGGCCTGAAGAGCATAGCATTCTACTCACCAAAGTAATTGGTCCGGGTGACTCAAGTAGAGCCAGCGAGGCTTTGCTGCACTTTTACAGGAAAGAATCTCAGTCTTTTCTACTGCACTTGAGCCTTTGAACCTCTGTCAGCTATCTTACCATCACAAAGCGTATCATTTAAGAATGGAGCCATGCACGGGAGAAGTGAAGAAACAAAGACAAAGGGAAAAAAGTAGGTCTTGGGGTCATCATTTGAACCCTGATCTGACATGTCTGCAACCCATCTCTTCATCTGGACTTTTCAGTTATGGTGACCATTAAGTGCCATTTTTACTTAAGCTTTTTTAAGGTGGGCATTTGGTCACTTGCAAAAGATGTTATCCTACCTTTTTAAAAATTTTTATTATTTATTTTTAGAGAGAGGGGAAGGGAAGAAAGAAAAAAGGGAGAAAACATCGATGCCCAAGAGATACATAGATTGGTTGCCTCCGGCATGCGCCCCAACTGGGGAACAGGCCCGCCACCCAGGCATGTGTCCTGACCAGGAATCGAACCAGCAACGTTTCACTCTGCGGGGCGATGCTCAACCAACGGAGCCAGGCCTGTCAGGGCTATCCTACCTAATATTAACACAAACACCCTTTAGCAAAGCACATTAAACACTCTGGGATCTGGCCTCAGCTTACTTTTATAGTCCCATCTCCAGAAGTTACCCACGTGCAACCTATAATCCAAGCAAATGCAGACAGCTGCAGTTCCAGATTCCCCGCTCTCATACACCTCAGGCCCTTCGAAAGTGCCGTTTCATTTGCTCGTAATCCCACCGCTGTCCTTGTCTGCTGGACTAGCTCTTCCTCCAAGGATCAGCTTAAAAGTTACAGTCTTTTTTCTTGCCCTGTGCCCAATGGGAATCACAGGAGATCTTGTGTGTGTGTCTTCCTTACCATCTGGGACTATTGTATAGTCACCATAGCAATAATGAACACTTACTGAGTGCTTTTTCAAGTATTTAACATGTATTAGCTCACTTTGATCTTCTACTTATTCTCTCCATTTTACAGATGAGAAAACTGAGAGACAGAGAAGATAAGAAATTTGTTAAATAAATAGTAAGGGGCACAGTGGACCTATGAGGTCTGGCTCCAGAGCCCATGTTCCTAACCATCAGGCTGGGCCCTTTTCCTTTTCACACCCATGGCACAACAATGCCATCCTTGTATTGCTCAGCTGTTTCTACATGTGTCCCCCTGAAGGAGAGTGTGTCCTATGTATCTTTATATTCCAGGACTGTACACAATGCCTGCCATGATATATGCTCCATAAAAATGTGATGAACTAATTAGTCACAAGTTCTTTTCAGTCACAATTTTTACATCTGAAAGAAGAGAGAGAGAGCGCGTGCACAATAGAAAAGCCCTATGCTCGTCCTGTACATTCGTCAAGCATCTTTAGATGACAATGGCCAGAATACAACTCAAACTGGCTCAAGAAAGAGGGCACTCACTGGAACAACATAAAATTCTAGAGCCAGATGTAGATGCATCCATTGTCACCAGAATTTTATCCCCCATCCCACAAGGCCGCTCTTCCCAGTGCAGACTTCACTTTCAGGCAGGCTCTTTGTGGCAAAGATAGCCACCGGGAAAACAATATACATATTTCCCTTTCTCTTTCCCAGCAGTCCCAGCAAAAGGCCTGGGGATGACAATCTTTTGGTTCTGATAGGTCCTGCTTGAGTCATCCCTCAATCAATGACTGGCCAAAAGGATATGCTCTTCCCATTGGCCACACCTACGTAACATGTCCACCCCTGGAGCTAGAAAAAGAATCAGTTCTAAATCACATGGTCTGGGGAATGGGGAAGAGGTTGTTCCCCAAAGGAAAATAAAGGTGCCAGGCCTAGAAAAAGAGAGTTTGGTTGATGGACAGTCACAAGCAACAGGTGACCTCTGTAGGCCATTTCCATGTGAAATCAAAACCACATTTATTTTTGTTGCATGATCCAAAATAAATGTGTTACTAGGATAACTTTTCTCTGAGAAAATCCAATTTTTATAATATTTGCTCAGAACTGACTAAAATAGCACATGAACCTGGCATCTGTGATGATCTCACACTGGAGGCTGTCATGTCCTAATGTAGCTCCCC